GAACAAAAATATAACTCAGGCTGAAATAAATCTCCAGCCTATTTTCCTTCACAGTGTTTAAGTGTGCCCCCTGCCCCCCCCAAAGGACATATAATAACTTTGCTTTTAAGGCCTTGATTCTGGATGATAGATTAAGTAGTGAGTATTGGTTACATGTGATTTAAGCAGTTATTTTAGGAAGCGCTGCATCAAGGTATGCTTAAAGTAAGCTGTGCTGTGGGTGAACCTTTGCATGATCAAGAGTGAGCTGTATCTCCCTGTTCATTGGTTGTATCACAGCATTATTTGGTAGTATTGATTTTGGAAAAATAAAATGCAATTTGTTAATAGCACAGGTCAGATTCAAGCATTCTTAAATGTTCAACTGATTATTGACCCACCAGGAACAAATGACTAACAATGATCACAGAGAGCAAAGTAAAGCTGCTGTCCAGATTCTGTGCTCCTTCGGGAAATCTATTTTGGAGCAATGAAGTAGGCAGGTGGTCAACCCAGATTCTTCCTAGTATAATGTGCCAACAGTTATATTGTCAGTCTACTGCTCTTATAGGCATCCAGGTTCGAGTTCCAGCACCCACATGGTGGCTAAACTGTCAGTAATTCCAGTTCCAGGTGACTGATGCCTTCTGGTCTCTGCAGGCACTGCACACATGTGATGCACTTACATTCAAGCAAAATACTCATACACACAAAATGAATGTAAAATATATTTTAAAAGATTTGTATTGGAATCATCGCTGAAAGGGATTTTATGGAATTTGTATAGCCTGTAATTAGATGTTGTCACAGGTTTCATCATAACCTGTGATGGAAGGGAGATAATTTGGTGACACAATAAGCTGGTACCCAACCTATTCAAGAACACGGAGAAAGATAAATTGATAAAGCTTTGAGGCAGGTATATTATCAGTGAATGTGTCTGGGTTAGTTCAGGTTACTTAGTTTTTCAGAGAATGAGACTTTCCTAAAACCAAAGTCAACAATACTGATAGAATCAAGAACTTTAGGGGCAGGCCATTAGGTATCAAACCACAGCAGTCTCTGTATCATTGCTCTTCAGTCATTTGTCCCTAGCACTGCTTTGGCATAGCTACATCTACAAGTTATATTACTAATCAAAAAAGAGATGAGGAATACATACATGCAAACCTACCATCAGCTAAAAAGGCCATGAGTCTTAAACTCTCAAATAATGTTTATGACACAGAAAAGTCTTTCAGTGCTCTTCTCATCCTTATTCACTTATTCACTTTTTGCTTTTCTTTATGGTTTTACCACTTGAGTTATGCATATATACACATAGTTTAGACAAATGGAATTTCTACTTTACATATCTCTTCATCTTATTTCTTCCATTTTTATGCATGTTGAATGTAGAGGCAGTTTATCCATTTTCATTACTATGTAGTTATTCTGTTGTATAAATACACTGCACCTGTTTAACCATTTTGTTGTACTGAACATCTAGGTTGTTGATAATGTGTCCCTACTACACATAATGCTATTCTCCCCTACCATGTTTTTTTCTTTTTAAAGACAGGGTCTTGCTATACATCCCAGGCTACCCTTGAATTCATGAACTTCCTGCCTCAAACACCCAAATATACTTGGGGTTGCACTCACAAACCACCATGCCTGGCTACTATGAATCTTCTTATGCTATCTCTTGGTGTTCATGGGCTTGCATCTTGGTTGAACGTGTTTCATACAATCACTGACATAACAGAAGCCAATGAATCTATCTGTCCTTTTCTAAATAAACTTTAGTGAGCTAGAATTCTAATAAGGAAATTACCTATTCTTTGTTTATTATAGCATGGAAGGTGCTATCTGGACACACAGGCTGATGTTTCCATGCAGGTAAATAAAAAGTAGAGAATCCAGGGGCTGAGGACACAGTTCAGTTGGTAAAGTGCTTGCTATACAAGCATGAGGATCAGAGTTCACATCCCCAGCATCAACAGAAAAGGCTGGGCATCATGGTATGTGCCTGTAATCCTATCACTGGGGATGTGGAGACAGGAGGATCCTTGGAGCTCACTTCTCAAGTAGTCTTGCCTCTGAATCAGTGAGCCCCAGGTTCAGTGAGAAATCCTGTCTCAAAAAGTAAGTTGGAGAGCAATAGAGGAGGATATCCAACATAGACATTTGGCCTCCACATGCACACGTAAACACATTCACATGCTTATCCCCCACAAAAAATATAGAATATTAATGTCTACAGGTATATTTAATCAAGAACATAAAATACATGTTTACCCTTAAATCATCTCTGGTATTATTTCTAGAATTCTAAAATTAACAAGGTCCTTTAAAGGGCAAAGCCTGTATCTTATGTTTCCTTATACTTTGCCATGACCATGGTAACACTGGTGAGGTGTTAGATTCAAGCTACATGTTCAGCCTTGGATTCTTTTGAGTAAGACTGCTCATACAAATGGGTATAATTTTTCAGACTCTCAGAACTTTAGTGTTTCTTGTCCTTGTCCTAAAAAGGCAGCAAGGGCTGGCAAGATGGCTCAGTAGTTAAAGGTTCTTTGCCACCATGCCTGATGATCTGAGTTCAGTCCCTAGGACCTACATGGCATCTGGAGAGAATAGACTCCCTCAAGTTGTCCTTCCACACATGTACCGCGGCATGCATGTACCTCCCTCACACACAATAAATAAAAGCGATTTTAAAAATGTTAAAGGAGCAGAGATTATTTAGTTTAATTTAAAGCTTCCTGTTTTCAAAGTCTCTTGCCTGAACTGGCATGATAGCTCTGTGGATAAAGCACTTGCAGCACAAAGGTGAGGACCTGAGTTCAGATCCCAGTCCCCACATTCAGCCTGGTGTGGTAATGTGCATCTGTAACCCCAGCATCTTCCCGGGAGATGAGATGTGGAGACAGGAGAATTCCCAGAAGCTTGCAGGCTAGCTGGCCTGGTATACACAGTGATGAACAATGACCCTGCCTCAAACCCAGTGGAAGGTGAAGACCGACACCTGCTCTGACCTCTGTACACATGCTGTGGCACATATGCACCTTTACTTACACACATGAACATGCACACATATACACACACTACACACACACACACACACACACACACACACATATACACATTAAAAAAAAAAAAAAAAAAAAACCTCTTTCCTGAAAAGTAGAATGTATTAGTTTGGATAAATCAATACAATGCTCTGTTTTCAGATTTTCTTACTCCACAATTTCTCTCAGCAATATTAATATATTTACAAGGTCTATTTAAATTATAATTTGGGC